GTTGTGTCTTTTTATAAATATTTGTATATATATTTGTATTTTTGTATTCGGGATTGTGGGAAGGGGTATTTCGATCTCTCTGTCTGTACACACAAACTGAAAGATTAACAATGAAGTTTGACTTAATATTGGTTATAAACAACAGAAAAATATGTAAGTCCTTATTCTTTACAAATCAGCAAAGATGATTTAATATCAGTCCAAGCTTCCTCTTATCCCACTGCACCTGTTCCAGTCGTATTTCTGCATTGACGAACTGGTAGACAATAGACTCTGAGAGGGCGGCGTTTTGCAAGAGGAAGGCGGTGAAATTTTCATCATCCTTCAGAATATCATCAAGCTTCAGCCCACGACCTGAAACATCAAGAGAAGAGATAGTGAAAGGTTAGAGCAACTACATACAATATTGACAACAGTCTGGACTACAGAGGAAATAATTGGCAGCCAGACAGTCTGGCAGCGGAAGAAAAGTCCAGCAAGAGGATTTGTGTTAACGCAGATCCCTGCCAAAACTTTTGGAGGTCATTTCAAATGCAGTAATACTCAGAATAACAATTATATTAATATGGACAATCCTGTTTGTCTAATTGAGGAAATTGATGTTTTACACATTGGATAAATGACTCCATAGCTTATTCTGTAGCTAACCCAATCAAGTGATTACCTCAGTAATAACATAACATATATAAAGTGTTTATCCAGCAGTTGGAAATGCAACATCTGAAGGATTACTGCCATTGGAAGCAAACTCATTTAGCAAAATGGACCGACATTAGTGGTGACATTTAAAGTAAGACACATTGTTTTTAAAAAAAAAGAGAGAAAGTGAGGACCTATTGTGACGAACACAAGACATGAAACACCAACACAAAGAGGATGTGTCGAAAGCCAAACAAACAAAAAGGTTAAGATCAAAGTGTTGCTTCACTTCCCTGTCAGGATAGGATAAGAGTTTATAAAAAATTAAAAGGAAATATCCTTTTTAGGGGAAATGTTGTTTACCTTTGGTTTTGTATCAAAGACTGATTAGTATGCTTTTATTTTATAGTGATAGTCGAGACAGACAGGAATCAAGTCAGAGACTTAGGTCGTTTACACCCATGTGGTCTGCACCCTACCAACTCGGCTCTCTGCTCGCCCACAGCCTATTTCTCTTCTGATAACAGGGTTGAGAAAAAGGCTTCTAATAATTATTTTACTATCAAGAGAAGTGCTTCCGTCTGAAACCTTTATCACTTTTGCGCTTTACCTAACACCACAGATGGGTTGTTGCGTAACGTTTCCATGATGTTTGAGAAGGACGACATTTCATGCCAAAGACGGCCGATCTCCTGGACCTCCCTCTCCTCCAGCAGGAGCTCCTGGGCATCAACATAGAACCGTGCCAATCTGAAGACAAGTAATAATATACAATGTTATAGTGCTTTATCTCATTTCATACAAGCCTAGTGTATCATCTGTAATCAGCGCTAGAGCACTAGGGTCTAACGTCGGATTTAATTATCAGATGATAATGAAATTATTTTTCACCCAAATTACAGCTTTATTAGGTTCTGCAAAAGTTTCTACGGTGTTGGAAATGCTTTGATGTGTCTTACACTGAGTTGTTGTAGTTGGAGACAACACCCGGAGACTCTCCTCTGGTGGGATATCTGAAGCAGGGGTTGTTGACGTTGCAGAAGATTCCCTGGATCCAGGGCAGAATCCCTGCTGACGGCATGGCCTTGTTTGGGAAATGGCCTGAAGAAACAGACAACTCACTTGTGAAAACTTGAAGGCTCGTAAAGTGATTTTACAAGAGTTGCCTCGAGGTTAACATGTGTTAATCCCTCCAGCAATTTCACATTATAGTGTAGCGTCTTGATTCTAGAATAATTTGTTCAAAGAAATCACTAACATAGCTTGTTTAAGAAGAGCTTTGTCTTACATTCATGTTTCTGGTACAGTGGATTGGCCTTCCTCAGCCACACCAGACCAACAAATAACAACACAGGCCAGCAGATCTCAACTATGAAGCGGCCCTGGACAGAAACAAGTAAAGCAGGGTTAAAAACACACAGAAACGGTTGGAAATCTGTAAAATGGTGTGCAATCCTGAAATGTATCATATTCAGAGAAAGCTGTAGTTTGTGGTGTTATTTTTATCCAAGGTTTTGTCTGACTACTGTCACATAAATGCTACCTTCTGCCTCTTGCGGAGGGTCCAGTTTTTCCACAGTAACAGGCGGATTTGAGAGCCTGTCTTCATTGCTCTGCAGCTTCACCCCTGGAAGGGGTCATCAGACTGTGACAAACCTGCAGATACACAACGCTCCATCAGTGACCACACACTGCCGTTTACTTCTCACAGAGACTCTGGACAAACTTGGGAACAACTGACACGGAAAGAAATTGGACTACAATTCTTGGGTCTGGTCTTGGGGCCACGAGGGATTTCTCATTATCAACCAAATTATTTATGTGAAAACATATTTTACACTGCAGGGTCCACTTTTGTTTCTGTTGGTTGTTGCTTTTTCAAAAGTCTATATTCGGTCTACTACTATCAATCAATCCTATAGATATATGGAAAATGAATTACAAACGATGCTTTCCCCATTAGGAATGCAAGTGTTTTGTTATTTGTCTCGAGTTGTACTGACTTTGATCTATATTTGGTTTTGGACCTGACTTGACTCAAACATGAAGGTACCTGACCTTAGCCCTTACTCGGATGTATTTAAGGTGGTCTTGACTACAACCCTGGACAAACCCTCTTACAAAAACACACCCTGCTGAAGTGCTCCTGAGCAAAACACTACCACCCATTAAGGTGTTTTGTTCAGCCATGTTGGCAGAAGGAGATTTCTCTGCAGGAAAATAAAAGTCGAACATTATCACAATAATTAAAATGCTGTCGAGGTGATTTATGAATTCAATTTGCACCTGCTCTATCATACAGACTAACACCAAAGGAAAAACTCATTTCCAAATTGAAAACAACTTCAAATGCCAATCACATCCACAGGTTATGTGCAGTGGAGCTCAGAGAACGTCAGACATGAAGAGTAATTTGTTCAGAGTGACATGTCAACTAGATTACCACAGACTAGCAGACTGAGTATGCAGGGACAGAAATACCAGAAAACAAAAGGACAAAGACTGTGAGACTACAAGAGGAGAGTGAAGGCTTCCATTATGTCTGACTTCTCTGAAATAACCTTATTATTACTCAAACAGCAATTACACATAACAGGACCTCCTTGCACAGAAATGTGTAGAAATGTAGAAAAACGGCATCAACTAAAGTAACCGATACAAGAAGTCATAAGGGGAAAAACATTTTAAAAAAAGCATCGACCAACATCTATTTCATTTCATTATGTTACAAGCATTTAATTAGCTATTATCAACCTGTCAGCGTATACATCATCTTACTATGTAGTCAATAAAGCAAGTTCCTTACCTCTTATAGAATGATGTAAAAGTCGTACGACATCTAGAGAAACCGGTTCACAGAGCAGCTGAAGTAGTGCCAAACATTAAGCAAGGTAAAAGAGCTGTGTGTGTCTCCTGGCTGCCCACTCTCTCTCTCTCTCCTCTGCCTGCAGGTCAGCAGCACTCCTAATCTGATTGCTCTAATCTCCCAGCTCAACATGGACAGGCAGAAAAAAGACAACAGTCATCCATTTTGAAGCAGAATTAGGTGGATATCTGCTGGAGAAGAAAGGGGGGATAGAGAGGGAAGACTGCCCTGTGCCGAGAGGGGTTACAGGATGGATCACAGTAGGAGCTAAAAGGTCTGTTGAAATGTCCATGAGAAAAATGTACCGGCAGTCACCGTCTCTGCAGGAAAGTTCTCCAGGTTAACAACTTCAAATTTCATTTTTCATGCAGTTACATGACAAAATCAGAGGTGTTTTTGTGTCGTACCTGTCTGAAATGACTCGGCGACGAGGTGGAGGAGTGATTAGGTCTGGAGAATGTGCAGCCCTGACAGTTTGACATTAAAAGCACTTGAACCTGCTGAGAACCATCGAAAAACAGACACGCTTAGCCGAAAACCAACGTAAATTATAGGCTTAACCCTGCACAAAGCTCAGTGTAAACCATGTCACACAACTCCAATTTGTCATTCTCAGACCTCAGTAAACTATAACAAAAAAATCTCACAGGATCCATGGGTTAAATTAGAGCTGGCCGATAAGCAGAAAATCAATTATTATAAAATCTATTATTATAATATCTTTGACTAAATACATCAATATTGTAACAATAGTGTATAGGGTTGGTGCTTCTAGAAGATATTTACACAATGAACGAATCATTTATAATGTGGAAAAGTGCTAACTGGCAAACAATAATAAACAGGAAACATATATTTACTGAAAAAAGACCTTAAGGTATATGACCATGATCTTACTTAGACGATATCAAGTCTTATTTCACAATATCAATGTAATGTCGCCCAGCCCTAGTAGAAATACAAAATAGGATGCAATTAACAAGTATAAATAATACAGTAAACTTATTTCTACAGGGCTAAAAAAATAAATAGTTACAGGTATATCCTCGGTTCTCTGCATGTACTGAACAGATATTGGAATGGAGGTGAAACGTTAGTTGATTAGTTGTTGGGCAGAAAATTATTGGCAAATTCTTTGATAATCTAGTTCTGCTTTTCTGTGGAAATGTGCTTTTTTTATTTTAGGAGTTGGTTGGAAGAATTAAGTCATTCTCAAGACATTTTTGTTGGCTCTTGTGACGTATGATTTCACAATGTTCTGTTGTTTCAAAGACCAAAAGGTGAGAACTTAAAAGATAGAGAAAATGATCGGCCACTTTTCCATTCTCCAAGTTGTCCAATACTGCCATGAATTTGAATGCATACAGGTTTGAAATACAAAATAGGATGCATTTTAGAAAAGGAGACAGTAATTTGGTCTGTTAGAATAAATAAAACACATCCTGGTTCTCTGAGGTATTGAACAGTAAAAAGAAAAACTCCTTTGGAACAGAAGTAACAATTACAAATGCATTTTTAATTTGCAGCAATCACTATTGCATCATGTCATTTTTTTCTGTATGGTCACAATAATGCAATGGAACAACATTACTGTGACGAACATGCAGTATGTATGAATGGATATAAAAAAACGTAAACAGATACATAAGGTTTACATACTGAGAAAAGATGTACCAATCACAGGCATCAAAGGACTCATTTGAAAGAGACAATGTTGAACTCTTTAAAATAAAAAACCTCATGTTAAAAATACTTCCATCTGTTCATTGAAGAATAAAACTTAAGCAAATTCTAACATAAAAAGGCACATTAGAATTTGAACCTGCGTTAAGTGCATTGTGTGATTACATCAAATATAATTTCATAACAAATCAAACATTGTACAGGAACTAAGAGGTTCAATTCAAACAAGGAAAATAATAGACGTACAATTCTTCAGAGACAGATGTCATGTTGTGGTTGACACATTTCTTTCTATCTTTGACATAAAAATGGATAATTCATGTATTTATAACTTAATAGCACTAAAAATACAATGTTGTCTGCTTTGAACGCTTGGGAGAGCAACCACTGTTGACATTTGGACTTGAATATGTAAAATACAATATATTAGTACTTATAACACTTTCATGGTTTATTTTCACAGGCCTACATTTCTCCCACTCAGCTTGTATTATAAAAAACGTGTTCCGATGTATACACTATGGCACGGATACAATAATATTTACAGATATAATATGTGTTTTTTTGGCTTCAGACAAAATGTGCCTCTCTGTGTTCGAGCTCCTGCGTCCGCCGAGGGCGAAGTCTTTGGTACACGGGTTTAGTCTCGCTGGGGCTGAGGTCGTCGGGGCTGCTAGGGGGGGGTGACTGTGGGGGGGAAAGGCTGGCAGAGATCGAGACCTCGGGGTCAATGGCGCTGTCGACGGAGTCCTGAGTCTGGAGCCGAGTCAGTGGGGGGCTCGTTGATAGGGCAGGGGATGAGGAGACTACCTGGGCAGTGGTGGAGAGGGCGAGGGAGGGGCTGGCGGTGGTTGTGGTGGTGGTGACCGTGGTAACAGTTGTAGTCCAGTTTGGAAGCGTCCTTGCCCTGCTGTTAAAAGAAACGGGGGGCTTGTAGAACGTTCCAGGAGGCGGCTGCAGAGTTCTCGGCGCCCTGAGCGTTAGCGGGAGTTTTGGCGAGCTGCTAGCCTCGCCGACAGAATTATCCGAGTCATTTTCCCTTTTATAAGTCCAGATCGGCTTTGACACTGTGTAGGGAAGGGTGCAGAACATGTTGCTCACACTACTTGAAGTAGGGACTGTAGCTGTTAGCGCTGAGCTAACAGTAGCGGTTATGGCTGGGCTAACTGTAGCTGTTAGCGCTGGGCTAAGAGTGACGGGCATGGTTGCTTTCACAGGTTGTATTCCAGTGCTGGCAGGTGGGAGGTTGGCCACGATCTTAGCAGTCCTGGGTGTGACATCATAGTGCTTGTACTTCCTGTCCCACGTCCTCCTCTGCATGGAGTGTGTGTCCATGAAAGGAGTGATGTAGTAGGTGCTAACTCTCGACGAGCCACTTTGGCGGGCTTTCTCTGGCTCTGGTATCTCCTGAATAGATTCAGAGACGCGTTCAGAGGAGCTGGAGTCATCTTTAGCAGCAGCGTTACGGTAATTCCTCTCGCTGATGTGGGCGGGCGCGGGCAGGCGTTCTAGCGGCATGCTGATGGGTCGAGACACGTGTCGGGTGCGCTGGGTGCGGAGCTGGACCTTTGGTGCCACAGCGGTGGTGGGGGGGCCGGTGGAGCTGGGACGGCCGAACACTAAGGTGGACCTCTGCATGTCTCCTTCAGCGAGGGTCTGGACCCCGTTGAGTCTGTCCGAGGCCGAGTCCTCCGTTCTGTCCGTCCCCGGCTGCACCTCGTGAACCTCATTCATGATGTGTGAGGAGGGGATCACTGACGAGTATCTCTTGTACACTTTGGCGCTCTGGAGGGACAAAAACAATTAGATTACAATCTTTTCATCAGATTTGAATCCGTTTTTAATTAATTAACCTTTGCTTCACATATAATATTTGTAATTGCATATTACTTAAGTATTCAAATGATTTCTTCACAGAATTCTACTTTTTTGTCTAAACCTGTACCCTACTAGAGGTGCACTGGTTAATTAACTGTATACAATGTATTATATAACTTTTATGCATCAATGGCAGAACATTTTCTTTTAGCCCCTGAAATATGGAGATTTCCTGCCTTTCTGGTTTTTTCTAATCACATTACCAAACTAAATATCTTTAGGTTGTCAGAAAATAACCAAGAAAGTTAGCTTAGCTTAGCATTTTGGGGGAAAATAATCTGCAGATGAATTGATAATGAAACAAATTAGTTGCAACCCTAGTGCCTACATTACCCACATTATAACTTTCAGAGATCCAGGCCTCTAACAGAGAAAAGGATCTACAGAGGTCTGATAAGCTCACTTCTTTCTCATTCTAACCTCCAGAGTTCTCCTTTTCATTTCTAACCTGCAGTCTTATCAGACTTTACACAAATCTTTCCACAACTTTATATTGAAACGTGTTTCCACTTAGCTGCTCTTACTGTCAGACATTCTCTAATACATGATATGAGAGCAGCATTAGTCACATCCCTAAATCCCTCCTCACCTCTTTGATATCCATCAGGGAGGCGGAGTGTCTGCTGAGCCGCTGCACCTTCTCTTGGGGGGTGAGTCTGGGGGACGCCTGGCAGGATGTGATGTTGTCGGAGCCGGGCAGAAGTGAAACGTCAAACACCGCGTGGAAGTGGCGCACCAGCAGCTCCACCATCAGGGCCTGGTAGGGGTAGTCCACCAGCGAGGACAGGGACACCTCGGCGTCCGTCTGCCGGGGCTTCACCAGCGTGGGGCCGTAGATTATACCCAGATTACTCGCAGTCATCTTGTTCTCCTCCGCCTGCTCCGTCACTCTGTGGGCGGACGGGGTGGCGATATTTATAAAGGACATTTGTCTGGTATTTTTTAAGAATTGTATCTTGGTTGTAAGTACAGACAACGTCTCAGAGTCAAAGCTAGACTGACATTCTGCAGATCAATATTTTGTAAAGCTAAATAAATACAACATGCCATAAAACGATTCTAACCAAAGCCCGTTTCTGACATGTGATTATTTATAAGTGTCTGCAATTAGTCCTATATTTAAATGTAAAGGACAGAAGACCAGAATAGTCATTCTAAAAATATTGGAGCTGGAACCAGATTTAAAAACTAGACTATGAATAGAGCATGTGTATAATGTTTGTTTGTTCTACTTCCTCTATGCTATAGGGAAGTCTCTATTTCCTGTTTTGTCTCATGAGGAAGTTTGTGACACAAATCCTTACAATGAGTTAGCATGTGTGTTTGTAAACAGCCCTTACTTGTGTAGGTGAGCTATAAGGAAGCGCAGAGTCCTGTAGTTGGCTGCAGGCAGCTGGCGGAGAAGGTCTCTGATCTTGAAGAGGACTCTGTTGAGCCCGACGCTGGCCCCCCCCCTTCTCTCCTGTTTTAGGTTTATCCGCCTCCTCCACTATCACTCTCTGGCACTCTTTGGCCAAGCCGATAATATCGTTGTAGTAACGATATAGGATCAAGGGCTCTGGTAGCTGCAGAGAAGGGAAACAGTGATGTGTTTAATGCTCTTAGCAATGGAAACTACCAGTGTAAGTACACCAAATAAAATGCTTATTTAAAAGAATAACAAATAAAAGTAAAAAGCCCGAAAACGACATCTAAAAGTTCTCAGCAACTCCAATCAACTGCTTTTTTTAAATAACTGATTTTATAATTAAAAACAAACTTGGTACCACAATATCTAATGTACCCATTCTTCACAGTAACTGTAACTGTCTGAGACCATCTTTAGACCCACTTGTCTCAGGTAGAGTTTGAGAACATTGCCGATATCGTGAGGAGAGAGGTCGGACAGCTCAACCAAGTCCTTGCCGTTTTCAAACGCCTGACAAAGCTTCTCCACGCGTGATTTGGCTCCATTCACACGATAAATCCCCTGTGAGGAAAAAACAGGAAAGGATTGGTACATTTGATCATCATTTTAAAAAGGAATGATATCTCCAATGTGTATTGCTTGAAAACTCTATAATCCAAAATGAACAATTTCACTGTGAAAGAAAACTCAGTTCACCTTGATGTTGAGGGCTCGACTCTCAATCTCAGACGTGCACTTTTTGATGATGAAAGGGATGCCATCTGGACTGTTCTTCGCTGCTTGTGTAAAGTCGATACCAAACAGCTGCAGTCTGCCTTGCAGCTTTTTATGGCCACACTGGATAGCAAGCGTTTCTAGACACTTCTTATGGCAGGCGAGGGAGCACTGGGGGGAAAGAAGGAGAGAGTTACATTCAGTAGTATGAAGTGGCCATTTGATTCTCACTTAGATTAAACAAAATCCTACAAATGAAATAACAGATTTACCTCTTCTTGTTTAAGGTCTTAGCATAAATGTCGGCAGCACAGTGGAGACACATAATGGCTACATATTTCTGTTTGTTGTCAAATAAATGTTGTTATTGCTGCAATGTATGAAATACTTGGGCAGCTATAAAGTTACACCAGTTAATTAATCATGAAAAAGTTCCATGTCCTGTTAATGTACTCTGCATGCAAGTACTCAGGTCCATGAGCATTTTAACAGCTTATGAAAGAGTGTTATGTACTGTACCTCCTCACACTCCGCTCCATGGAAAACTACCAGGCTGTCACACTCTCTGCACTTAGATGGAGCTCGTAGTTTCCTCAGCTTATGGGTTTGAGAGGCTTTGGACATCTGAGCGTTTCTGAAGGGACCCGGAGAACTGGCCGTCTCCGTCACCATCTCTGCCAGACCTGAAAATCCGATCCAAAGATGAGGAAACATGTCAGACAGGTGACTTCCAGTTCCTGTTAGTCTAAAGCAGAAACAACTGAGCCTCTGTGAGGGCAACTAAGAAGCCTTTGTTCAAGTCACGTCACTACATATATTTTAATTTGGAGTAGTTCATATTTACTGGTTGAAAATGATTATTTCAGACCTAAAGTCAGAAATATGATGAAAGATATGATAATAGGATATGAAAACAGAATGGGTACTTCAACTTATTTTAAAATGCCTTTAGGTATTATTTTATCATGTGATGATGTCATATAAAAATGGCAAAAATAAACACAGATTATATTTGATGCTTAACGTTACTTTATTATCATGCACACAATTACAGTTTCACAAGAAACGATTACAAAATGAGGTCGAGATAGGAGGGCTAGTTTGCGGCTTCCATTCTCAATGAAAGAATAGACATACACACTGACCCAGACAGCTCCTCCTATACAGGAAGTGTGAGCTGAGGTCATGTGGCCAAACTAACATGAACCCAATCTGTGCAGCTCCGTCAAGTGTAAAAAACATTTGATGCCGAGCGAAACCCACGGAAAAAAACATCCTTCGAGTCTTGGTGTAATTTCTCCTTTTTTCTTCATCTCTTGCATAGCTTCCCTGTCACACAACACACACTGCCTGCGCTACTGCACACACATTCCTAAAATTGGTTTATGTACAAGTATGCATCTGCCTGAGGAAAAGGGGTCACACGCCTTACCGTTGTCTGAAGGCGATGGTTGCTCTCTCTCATCCAGGTCATCAGCTGAAGACATGGTGCCAGTGGACGGAGTCCTCGGCAGCCGTCGCTTGAAGTCACCTGACGGTACATACACAGGTCATGAATTTGTACATACAAATATCCAGTGACTAATTTAAAAGTACAGTTTAACAACAGATTTGCACAAGGGCAATATCCCGGTGCAGAGAACAGATTGTGCTGCTACGTGTGCACATGCAGGGTTTTATGTATCAAAGCTTGGCACAGTGTGGCAAACTGTTTCAGATGTAGAGGGAAGTGCACTTAGAGATGAGTAGTGTGTGGGTCTGTTGTACAATGAGGAAGTTACAACAAATATTATACTTAGAATAAATACATAATGTGCACCTTCTTTTACTTCTGTTTTGAAATCAGGCTATTATCAGATTTGTATTACTGCCTTTATTATCTTTAATAGTTTGGGTGTTTTTCCAAATTTACTCAAATGTTACCTTTCTTTGTTGCATGTATTTGTTTATATAAAACCATTTACAAATATCCTATATTAATGAAAATAATAGAATCCTCTTACCTGGACTGGCGGTGGGGGAGTCTATGGACCGGGACTCGCTGCTGCCTCCCGCGCTCTCCGAGTCGCTGCACATCCCGCCCTGGCTGCCCTGACTACCGGAGGCCCAGGCTCTCAACGTGGCCTGGCTTCTCAGCGCTGCAAGGAAACATAAAGACCACCAGTCACACACAAGCAGAATAAGAGGAAAAAAATAAATCCAGCTCCTAAGCAGCTTCCCGTTTAGTGATATTCTTAGCGTTGGTTTTGGTTATTTCTAGGCAGGTCACACGTATATTCTGGATTTATGACGCGTAAGCCGCACACAACGGGTTTGATTTAAGTCCTGAGAACATTTCCATGACTCAGAACACAGACCATGAAAAGGCTCATAAAAGATGCCTGTGAGTTCAGCAACAAGTCATTTTGCAGTTTGGGAATCATCCATAATCTAAAATACTGTATACTCATGTATCAAATGTGATCTTGTCTTCAAGTCTGCTGTTATTCGTAGCAGTTTTGAATCCATAGTGTTTCCTTGAATTGAAATCAGTATTTACTAAATGAGAGAGTACCTGGTATGTCGGTGCTGCTGTTGGACCTGCGCTCGCTGATCTTCGTAGAGCGGTGAAGGGCACAGTCCACCTCGTCTCCGCTCAGCACGTCACCAGAGTAGATGGATGCCTGCGACAGGTTGCCATGGGAGGAATGAGTGCTGCCCACAGACCTTTTGTTGAACACAAACCTGGGGAAATGAGTCAGAATGAAAGGTTACGTGATGAGATTTATATTGTTCCAGAGTCACTAGAATTTGATTTATTACAGTGCGGGGATTTGACATGTGACTCAACTTTTACTTCTCCAGGCACTGAGACTTTTGGATTTCAGTTTCTGGCAGATAATCTGTTTTGTCCCCAAGACCCACCCCCAAGACTCCAAGCAGCAAACTTGGAGCACAGTGTTATAAACAAGCAAGCATTTACTGACATTATATTACCACTTCACGACACACACATGTAGCACCTTTGCCCTATTAAATGAGCCACTTCATTTCATTGGAAGAAAATGAGCCCCTTTCTGTCAGGCTAACATAAGCTGTTCTGGAGACCCCCCAAGACTTTTTATAATTCCATAGTTGCTAACAGATGTTAATAAAAGCCATGAAGTCAAAAAAAGTTCCATTTTATTTGTTATGTGTAACTTCAAAGAATTGTCTGAAATGCTAGTTGTGCTTAGACTGAAAGAGAGGATTAGGAACAGAAACGACAATAAGCCCAGCCGGTAGACCATTGCAACATATAATGTCACATGAAACACGTCAGTAGCTGCACAATAATGAAAGCACTAAATTCCCTTTTTAAGCCACAAAGCAGTACAACACTTACTTACAAAATACAATAACATCATCAATCTTACCATTAACTTATTACTGAGAAAGTGAAGCGTTGCGTATTTTCTTAGTGGTAATGAGTATATGTGTGTATGGGAAGCGGATTCTGCTTTCACAATCTAAGTCTTAGGGACAGCTCTAACCCCGAGCCAACTCTCACGCTCACAATCTCCCCCACTGCATTCAGCCCGCGCCACAGATATTTCCTGAGGAAGGGCAACAAATTCAACATGCATTCTGTCTCTCCTTGACTCTCTCTCTCTCTCGCTTCCTCCCACTCTGACTCACTGTTACCTTTGCTGAAAGAAGAGATTTTAAAATGAGTTACTTGGAGATGTTTTGAAACACTCTCCTCTAGGATTAAGGTTTCATTCTAAAAATCACATTTACTTTTCCCCATTATGGCCTGCAACAAGCTGCAATGTGAGAATACAAATGGGGTTTAGCATAGCTTAAATACTGAGACCTAATCCCAGAATCTTAGTGTAAATCCACAGTTCTTGGTACCTGGCATTGTCAGACGAGGTGGAGTCTGAGTGCAGACGCTCTTTAGGCAGATTTTTGGGCAGGTTCCGGACGAACTCAGCATAGCATTCACCCGGTTCGTACAACTTGGAGCTCTCACTCAGAGCCTGGTAGTGAGCAGGGAGCGACACCGTCTGCGCCTGCTGCATCTGGAACCAGTTCACCGTCACCTGAAGAGAGACGGATTAGTTTGATGAATGGGTGAATGACTCATTTAATGAATGATTGAAAGAAAAAAAGGGAAATGAGCACTTAAAAAGACACAAAAGGACAAATACAGGCAGACAAACATTATTTTAGAACTGTAGCTTATGTTATTTCAATTTAATATACCGGTAAACAAACAAGTATTTGGTGATAACTTCTAATGCTTGACAGATTTCTAAAATGTCTACATTTCTACTAACAATTTTACAAACCACTCCAGCTGTAGTAATATGTACAGTGCATGACAAATGGCCGGCTATGTGATTACATAAGATTAGAATGTGTTTCTTTGCCTATAAATGCCTTCTACTTGGCGTATCGAAGCACATATTTAGAGCTTTTCTATAATCTTAGAAATGTACAAAAAGGTTTTAGCACCAAGAGCTGCCAAACCCAAAAAGTAAATTACATTGAAGTGTAAACTTTGCTTTAGGAGCAAGTCATTTGTTCTCAATGTATAATGCATTGTGCCTGTAAGATATGTACATAACAACTAAATGTTATTGGATAATCAACTTCTCTCTCCGTAACTCTGCTTGTTAGCTTGCTGCGTATCATGTAGTGCCCACTCACAGCTTTGAGTGTGAGGTCACACTGGAAGACCATCTCTCTGATCTGTGTGAGGATGGTGCTCTTGGCGTTGGCCAGATCCATCTTCCTGACGCCTGCGTCAGCCATGCAGCTCTGGTACTGATCCTGGGCCTCCTCCGCCTGGTCACAACAAAACACACAGAAAGTAGTGAGAATGTGGATGAAATGCTTAAAGGGATAGTGGAAATCCGCGAATTTTGGGTTTAACTTATGTATTTGTATTAAAAATAAGCATAATAAACAATTTTTTTTAATTTCATGCGCCTAGTTTCATTTTATTTTCAATTTTACTGCGCCCTCTCAATGAAACGAAATACTTCGGGAATCGTCGGGAATCTTCGGGTGATGACGAGAGCAGAGGAAGACGGGCACAAACAATGGCGGACATTCAATAGCATTTGCATGTGAATAGTCGACCTTTATTATGGTGAATAGATGTGTTTTGTATGGCTGTAGTGCGACAGCAAATGCAGAGAATGGCGTATCGACTCATGCGTTTCCAAGAAACCCAGCCATTCGTCGTCAGTGGGTGAAATTTGTTCAGAAATGTTCACTATAGGCAATACTATAAGACTGTAAGACGGCAATACTTTATACCGAGTATATTGCCATAAATATGATGATTGATTATCAGTAAAAAATTCTACGTGACACAACGACATTGGATTAACCTTGAGATGCGTTTTTATTCCGTTGAACACAACTTTTGATCACAAATCAAAAAAGGTAAGACGTAATTATTGTAATATTTTTGGAACCGGATGTTGTTTACTTTCTCTTTTCTGGCTGATAGCTCCAGGAATTCGAGGTCTTACAGTGATGACATTACATCTGTGGAGTCTCAGCTTTAAATCGTATATCTTGTTTGTGCAGTTAAGATAGTAATAAGGGCATTTCCACCGTGTGTTGTGTGTAAAAAAGCGTTAGCATTAGTTAGCATTGTTTCGCTCAATGCTAATTCAAAGGCTTGGTATTACTCTTGTGTTTTTTCTAGCTAACAATTGTTCTTATTGTCAGTTAGCGGAGTTTCTTACCTTTAAAAAGGGTATGAAACATTAATAGTTTCATAAATGTTAAGAAGCCCTGAGACATGTGAGAGAAAAAAAACTGTGGGAGGGGTCCACTGGGGGGACCTTCGGGATTAACTGGTTAACAATGATTAATATTTGTAAAGGCTACAGGTGATCTTAAGATGCGTGAGCTATGCTTAGGGACCTACCAGTCAAGATTATTTGTGCGTAGGGGTGCATCATCTGGCGCCTGGTCCTGGTCATCCTCGCCATCAGGTGTGATTGTTTTGGTACGTAATTATGCTTGTATATAAGTTAAAACGAAACTATTTGAGGTTCCATTTCCACTATCCCTTTAATGTCAATAATACGGTTTTCAGGACTATTATGCACTGCTGCAAAGACATGTTCCCTGGTGTGGAAAACCTTCAAACTTGAACATGACTTGTGATATTATTCTCCCCTGCCTACCTTCTGCAGAGCGTCCTCCTCCAGCTTCCTCTTCTTCTCCAGCTGTTTGTTGCCAGCGGTAGCGTGCTCCTCCTGGGAGCGGTTGGTAGATGTGTGGGCTTTCTGGTACTCCTCTCTCCTCTGGGCCTTCAGCACTCGTGCTTTACGCAAGGTTGCCACGGCCTCTTGCTGCCAAACCACACGGATAGACCATAATGTGATTAAAATCTGACATAGGGGTTCAACGGTTATCATAAGCATAGTCAGGCACACCCTTCTGGTTGTTTCACCTCACATGAGGAGCGACTGTAAACACTGCCAAGAGGGCTCTTTTTCTTTTAACCATCAGAAAAACAAGTGATGTTGGTGTAATCTAGTTGGTGTTTTCGCTGATTTGACTTCCATAAATGGATCTATACTGATATTTATAAATGCAAAAAGGAAGATGTGCTTCATTGATTTTGAGCTAATAGGCTGTATTAAAACAGGGACATGTTACAAACCATTTTCTTTTGCTCCCTCTGCCACTGCTCCTTGATGTCTTTCCTCAACCTGTCGAGGTCATTCTTACGGGCAAGAAGAGGCTGGAAAAACAATTCAATGAGGTACAGGATTTCAAAAGGTATTTTGTTTATTTCAAAAGCTTTCAAATATAAAGAAAAGTTAGTTAATGAATTGTATCAGAAATGCTTGTTTTCTGATCTGCAAGTACTGTTACAGAATATTAGAGTCCCAGCCACTGTAACACAATACAGGGATTTAATGTATGTGCACTCGCGATTTCCATTTCTCATTGTTACCTGTATGTATTTGTTGGTCTGAAGAGCTATTGCAGTTTGAGTAAGCAGCTGTTTGTATTCAATGTCGTTCTTGAACGTGGAAACGTAGATGTCACTGAATGGCATGTAGTCCTTGGAGAAAAAGATAATACTATTAAATTGGCAATTCCATATATATAGATTTCAATCAAAGACAAGATAACAATCATATACAGCATACACATTATAAATAAAGTAAGTGTTTGTATAAAAATACAATTGTCTTACCTGTTGGCTGGCCAGTGTCTTAGCAGACTCTGCCATTTTGGAAAAACTTTTGGCATACTCAATATCTGAAAAAAAGAGATACACAAAACATTAAGGGATTATTTTTGTCTGTAAATAATCAAGTTTGGATAAAACAACATGCACTCCATTTAATCTAATTCCATAATGCTGGATTTAAACAAACATCGCAGACGCTCATGCTTCAGGTGATGCACAATGATTTACATTAACACAGTGTATTACACACCAGTGGCGAACCGTCAGGGCCTTCAAGGTATTCAGAGAATACTCAGATAAAACAAACAAAAAATCGATTTAATTATATAAATAAAATGTATATAAAATGAATAAATGAGAATCGTATCCGTGTTGATGATCTGTAATATTACAGTGTTACGTTGATTTGTTTGTCCTTCTCCGACCATGCACTACGCATTTCAGTGGTTTTGTGTTAGAAAAGAAAGCAACCAATCAGATCTTGTTCTGGGTCTCTGGGTAGAATATCCTTCAACAAGGTATTCTACATCCTTGATAGAATGCCATGGCCGTTGCACTGAATGAGAGCGTACGTTTGGACTGACAGTTTGATCAACCAATCATATATTGATTTGTAGCCAATGGGCGTATTCTTTCAGAGTTCCCCTCGGCTCCAGGGTATTCTAGAAGGCCCGCTAGTTAACTGGCTCGAGACAGAGGATCTAGATGAATGCGACGAAGCAATTCATGCCGTTTTATTGTTTTTAACGTTGAAATGACAAGTGCAACAGGTGGAGATGAAGTTGTTTGCGGAAGACGGACATTATAATGTGGGCATGTAAAATTCTTTACATATCCTAAATTAAACAAAATGAAAAGTACTGAATAGTTTCAATGGAACAAACATTAACAAATGTTTTCTGCTCAGAGTGTAAAATAAATTGCCATGACTAAATGGCTGTGAAATCTCACAAACTGTTCTGCCCCTGCTGAACTCAATTAAAAGCAAAAAGGCTTATAATGACTCAGGGGTACATTTTAAAAACGCTGTTTCATTCCTGGGTCAAACACAATTTACAGATAGTCTTTTTAAACTGTACTGCAACACAAGATGGGTGTACATCTTTACTGTTTAGGAGTTATTGCGTTTTCCAAACATATCTAGTATATTCTCCTGATGCAGTAACCCTCTGTTTTGCAATCCAGAGCTCCACGGTTGATGTCTCACCCATGGCCAGCCGTTTCTCCATCCAGGCCAGGAGGTCTTTGATGTACCTGGACCAGGCCTTGGCGTAGAGTAGAGCAGACTCCACGCCGCTGTCATTATTCAGCAGGGTCAAGTCAACTTCTTCCTCTCGTGAAAGCGGCACCTCTGGAACTAGAGAGTCAGTAGAGAGAATCAAAACACATGGTATCAAGAAAATTGCCGTGTCTCAGTTCTACTACCCCCAACAGACGTGTGTGGGAGGTAAATGGAAAAACATATTCAGGTTAAAGGTAACCGTGTAGGAGGATGTAAAAGTGCCGGGCATCTTTTCAAATAGCATTATTTTCTTTCTACTGGTTACACTGTGATGCACCTCTCCCAGGCATCCACCGTCTGATTCAACACAAACCCCATGTGTTTCCCATCCCACACGGAAATACTCCTAAACAGGCAAGGAATGTGAGATATGTGGCCGGAGAGGGGAAAACGAGCAGCTAGTATGAAAAAAGCAGCAGAAATAACAGGGGTGGAAGCAGAGGCTTAGGGTGGGTCTACCTCAGGCATTCAAGAGTCCAGCGCCTAAATCACTCAGCTAACTCACCATCTGACACTCAGGGCGGCCCCGGTCTACAAAGCGACCATTAAATGCTTTTTAAAGCAGCCATTAATAATCACTACTTTTCAGGTTTCATTTATTTCATTCTACACCCACGTTGCTCAGAGGTAAATGACGGAATGTGAATAACACTTACCCACAAGGTCATTTTTCTCTGACAAATATCCCTCAGGATCCAAAGAGAGATTGTCAAAAGACTGTGAAAGAGACATTTCAGATTATAAGAAGGGAATAGCAGACATACAATCAAAGTAAGACATCACAAGCAGCTGGGTGTTCAACACCCCAATTAAGTACAGAAAGCAAGTCTTTGAGGCTTTTTTTTTTTTTTTTTTTTTTAATTAAATGGAGGCGTGGTGCAATTGTCACTTTAAATGCTGCACCCCTTTGAAAACTGTAATGTTTAAAAACAAAGCTTTAAAAAATAAACTGGTGTGAAAACTGGGAGAGAAAGAAGGTGTCTCACCCTGCTTCTCCTGGTCTGGGGGGTCCCCAACCCTGAGCCGCCGTCCACATCTCCCATAAGGAAGTCAGAAACTCTGAAGGGAAGATGTGTAGATATATGTCAAAAGAGCTGTTTGATTGGGGGAGAATTGCAATGTATTCAGCAGTAAAGGGTTTCCAGAAATGCTACTGTGAAGTATGCTGTGACAAACTTTGACAAAAGAGGTTGGCTGAAGTCAGCCCTGTTTTTCTTACACAAAAAAGTAATAAAAGTCTAGTGGTGTTGAAAAGCTACACAAACATTGTACTCACACATTGCCGAAAGTGAATGCCAAAGTGTCAATGGATGTGTGTATCTCGCCAAATATAGCCTGTGTGTTTTCTGGGTTCACTTCCTTGAAGTTAATGCCTGTGGAGGGTGATAAAACACACAATAACATCAGCCAAAATTAAACTGTGTTACAAACCAGCTCATGTTCAATCCTTCAACAAATGTATTAACACAACTAACATTGTATTAAATGCAGATGAATGCATGCAATTCCTCTCAAAGCAGTTGTTGGTTTTATTCTTGCAATCCTAATTAATAGAGACCTTTTTTATCCGAGTGGCTTGTGTCTGGAGAGGTTATCGCCTCTGCAAGGGCTTACGTTTTTTTAAAGTATGTTTTGACATTCTCCTCCACAGCGGACAAAGAGTTTAACCCCCGAGTGGTTACAAAGGGTCAAGAGTTTCAAAGGAAGCACTGTGAAAACAGCTTAAAACCACAAGTATTAGAGCAGAAGTTGTCATAGGACATCGACCTATACAGTCCATGTCTTTCGACCACATCGGAAATACCTGCTTTTCAAAAGCTTCAAGAATCTTCAAAGACGGATATTCAAGAAATATTAAAAAAAACAATCCCAAAAGTTCCCTTCCTTTGTTCAAATGTGTTATAATCCCATATGCCATCTTCCACGATGATCATGCACAGAAATGGTAATAGAATTGCACTCGTTCTTAAATGTAAGATCTATTGACAGTCAGGCGTCCACTTGTTTTAGAACCATAAGCCTGAGAAGGTTTGCAGAGTTTTCATTGTCGGAGAACAGTTTACGCAGCGAGTTAGCAGAAAGAAATCAGAGGGAGAAGAGACAGTGAAATCCGACTAAGCCGAGTACTTCCTGCCTGGCCGCAACAGGAAACACTCACACAGCCTGAGATCTGTGACATGTAACACTATATACAACTGTGACAACTCTTACCTTCTCTCTGTCACCTTGCACCTTTTTTCTAGTAACTGGGAGTAAAAAAAAACTCTAGAAAGTTTCCAGTCGGATTTCTAGCTTTTGTGCTTCCATTTTCTCTTCATTAGAGCAAATTCCATCCATGTCAGTGGTGGGTGGGTGGTTGTAAATATCCAACCTATGACCAAGTATTTAAGGGTCATGGCATCCTGGGATGGGGAGGCAACCCTTACAATCCAGGGAGATTCTCCAAGACACCAGAAGAGGGGAGAAGCCGATGTGCAAGCCTCCCTGCAGTGAACCTCTCTGGCCCTGAATGCTAGCGTACAACTCTGCACTGACTTCTTCCTCAGGACATCCTGTGCGTCTCATAACAATGATTCCAGAGCTCTGCCCCCCTTGTCAAGATTGAAATATGGAAACTGCATCATTCGAGTACAGGGGCCATTGTCTTCTCACGGTAGAGCCGTAACTGGGACCATTAGTGCCTGAAAAATGTCTTTGATGAGTTAAGAGCATTGTCTTTATATCTGATAATCCTACCTTGACGTAGCTTAATTTCACCGGTGTGCTATTAGCCGTTACAAACACACTGAAACATTATAGATTCATAAGTGAGGACAAATTAAAAGAAAATGTACATGCAAGGAGAAATCGTTTTTATTATGAGTAAACTGCATGTGCATAGTGACAAACACACTGCCTGCCTTTGACATAGAAGTTAGCTTGGACTTTTAGTAAACAAATGTGCTTCAAGCCTCTTCCCTAGACAAAGGGGGACAGAGAGCAGGGAAAGAATTTCAATATGTTGAGGAAGTTGACACTTTTATTGCAGTTCCCTGTAGTTTTTCAGAAGGAGGAGGGGGAAAAGGGCACTGTCACAATGTGGCTACAAACTTGTCCAGGTCTAGTTTGATTCAATGAGTCTGTGAACAGATCATGTATTTAATGTAGAGAAGACATAAACAACACTACATGTATATATATTTAAAACTGGTTCGACAACCATATGTTTGGATGGGAAGGGAGGGGGATTTCCCCAGTAGATTCTGGCAGCTGCCGAAATGCCCCAGGTGTTTTGAGCATCAAAGAGCAACATGAGTGAAGAGGCGACACACTCTGAAGACACTGAGACGCACAAGGCCTGTTATCATCCAAACCTTTGAGTCCTCATCTCTGATGTCTCGCCGATTCATTCCTCTCTCAGCCTCTCCTTTTCAGTCCTCCTCTGGCCCGGTGACTGTGGCAGCATTGTGTTACCCACTGGCCATTAGGGACAGTCCAACCAGGGTGTGTGTTGATGTAAGACACCCCCTTGTGGACAGGCACATTCCCACTTGTCAACAACATATGCAGCTACTGAATTTAAGGCAAGACTAAATGGCTTTTCTTGTAAAATAGGAAAAAAGCGCAAACTGCACGGCCTTAATCTACAGTAGCAGCATTATTATCAGTTTAAGGGTGTTTTATTTATGCATGTTTTTGTGAGATTTGAGCATACAGTATAATAAATACCTTGGTTATACCCGCACATTTTGTAAAACCTTGAATATGTCATAATATGCTTTTATTTAGGGAGCAGCAAAAACTGTTTTTTCCTCTTAATAAAATATTTAAAGATTTGATTTGAGATCCTTATTGTCTCGCTGCACTGAACTCATTGTAATCATTTTCATGAGCGTTATGATGAGATCAAGGATGGCCATGGCTATATAGTAATCCTACATTTTCAAACCTTGCCAAGACCAAATATATGGTAGACATCTAGACGCGAGCATCAGGGAAGAATGTAGCAACTAAATGAATATTGAAAAACTAAATTTCCTTCAAGACACAAATATTGGATACCAAATAACTTAACTCAGTTTGAGTGCTGACACTGATTTCCCATATTGAATTGGTTAAGCAATATTTCTTACAAGTCTTGTAGATTTTGTTTACCATAGGTGTTTCACTGGCCTTCGTAGAAACATTGGTCTTCAAACATGTGCAATAAAGGTGTTTGAAACGCGTCTTGTTATTAAAGTTAGTCTCAAACACACTCTGCCTCATCTGACACTGGATCTCTTGTGTTTCCTTTCGGCATTCTACACATTGTCAAAGCACTCGTCAATGAACCGCAGATGCAGACAGATATCTTTAAGCATTTTTGAGGAGTAGTTCATAACTCGGATATAGAGATGAGACAGGTGCGTTGTCAGACACTCTCACACCTCACGAAGCGGGGAAAAGAATGAAGACGCGTGGATGCGCTGGACCGACAAGCCGCCTGCCAAAGGGGCCCGGCGGTCGCTGAAATATGGAATGCAAATTACAGTCGACTCCGCTGTAGAGATTCTTGTGTGCAAGTCAAGTGAAGAAAAACCCTTGCAGAGGATCACATTTCTAGCAGAGTGAACTCGTGAGTTGAGATTCCTTTTTGTTTGTGTTCATTCGAGAGACAGGAAACAGAGCTGTTGCTGAAGGAGTATTCTCTTCTCATACTGCGCCCTTTCAGAAACAAAACTCCAAGCCAAGTCTAACTAAGATCACTAAAATATAACCGCAGGGTACTTCCCACTAGTCTGCATGACTGAACCAGTAATACAACAATCAGTCAAATATTGCAGCACCATTTGATTGTTTTTACCTGTATGTCTGTGTGCATGCAAGTGACTTTCACTGACCTTTGACCTTGGCGATGACCGTGCCAGCCGCTCCGAGGATATCCACCGAGTTGAGGGTCTGGTGTTTGCTGATGACGGTCTTGAGGACGCGAAGTAACTCTGCCAAACGTTCCTGCACCACCTCCTGAAGACCTTCTAGACTCTCTGGGGATAAAAGAGACAATGCCGGTTTAAAGGTAGTAAGGGCAACCAATACGTGACGACCTTCGAAACCCAACTACCACGCCGTTTTCAATCAAACATTTTCATCTATTAGTCAAAACCACCATCCCACTACGTTTTGAGTCACAGGAGGTGAGTGTGAACAGAATTCCATGCATTGCTTTTGTCTTGGCTGCACGTATTACTTGGCAAATATGTTGTTATTTTAAAACGTTGATCCAGATGATTTCCCTCAAGTCAAACGTGTTGTGTTTTATTTGCGTGCATGGATGCGACCCCAGATGAGACCTAGAAGACGGTTCTTGTTGAGAGGCAGCGACTAAGGCAGTTGTTGCGGCATAAAAGTGCAGTGATGCAACTTCTTTCTGCTTCCTCCAGGCGGCGAGTGACACCTTGTACAGCGGAAGAGGGATGTTTCTATGTAAACAGGTGGACCAATGTCACGGTTATGAGAATCTCAGGTGGAGTTGATGAATACTCAGAAACGATGACGTGCTTTCTCTGTTTTTGTGGTCACGAGTGAACTCAAACTTGTACTTTAGACGCGTCCCAGTCAACTACAAAGCCACCTATTGTATCTGTGCTTCTCTCTCTTTCAAAGTCTTTGAGGTCTTGTGTTTATTTGTTAAACTTTTTACAGCTTCTGCAATAGAAAAAACACAACTTTGGTGCGGTGTCTGTGACGCAGTTTGTACAACACACTCCAATAAAAAGGGCACTCGTACTAAATTAGCATGAAGAAATAACGTTTGAAAGAGTTGACTGAAGTGGCACATATGGTAGCTGTTATGCAGGCATACTTTTCTGCAGCAATCTGCTGACAGTGTGAGCGGAGGAAAAAAAAGTTGAGGAAGATATTGCATATTTCTAGCGGTTTCAGAAGATGACACTTGAGGAACAGAATGTACAAAATGCATCCATCACTTTTCCACGTTCTAAGTCCTTTTGCTATGAAAGGCATGCTTTTCCTGTAGAACCACACATTACGGTGAGGAGCATTATACACTTATCTGTATTTATGTGTCAAGTTTATTTATATAGCAGCTTTCAACACAAGGCAATTCAAGGTGCTTTACAAAAATAAAAGACATTCAGACAAAGGCATTTAAAAACAGTCATTCAAAGAAAAAATACATGGATAAAAAGTACATGAATAAAAGGTTACAGTGCAGTTTAAGATATGAATAGTTCACACAGAGGTTCCACTTTACTGATGAACACAACGGCTCATTGCTCTTATTCACGACTTTACAGATCCTCTGTAGGGATGCTCCATTATGGCAAAAAGCATAATCTCGATTATTTGGGTCAATAATTGATATCACGATTATTAAAAACGAGTATCCATTTACTTTGAAAACATCAATTTATTGGAGAAAAGAAATGTGAACAGTATGTTTTTAACAGTTGATTACCCTGAACTTTAAGTAGAATTCAACGGAAAAACCAATAAAAAAATTAATTTATTTAAAAAAATAATAATAATAAAGAAATAATAGTTTTATTTCTATTACGTTCTTTTCGTAATCGTTGCAAGCCATAATCGTAATTGCGATTAAAATACGAATAATTGAGCAGCCCTAATCCGCTGTATAGATTTCTCCAGAGAATTCAGACCGCAAAGCAAACCCACTTTTCAAACCAGTGTTTTACAGATAATTTAGCTCTTTGGGTTAAAGCCAAAAGAAAATCAGTAAATCTTGACACTTGATGAGTCGGTCTCCTGCTCTGATAAAGGCTAATCAGCTGTTGCTCTGCCAGTTGGCACCAAGACAAAAGGTGAGTTCATGTCTAACTCAGTGTTTTCAAAGTAGCAGGGACTCCGTCTGGAAACAGAAAAGTCATCTGTTTTTTTTATCAAGGCCACCCCACCAGGCAGCAGCAGCACGAGATGAGACTGAATTTATTGCAACGTTAAAAGGAATCACAGAGGGCGTGAGAATGAGAGTGTGTGTGTTGCCCGTTTGACTCCTCTCTTATTTAAGAACACTAACTCCATTGGCTGGTGTAAAACATGGTAGAAGAGACATAATCCGCAAAGGAGACATAAACCCTCGCCATCTGTGACACTATGTCACAAGAACGACAGAAGCCATAGACATGAATATAAACGCCAAGCGAGAAGAGACTTTGACAATGGGAACATAACACATAGAAGAGTTGAGGATACTCTCCAAATATACACAGATTAAAGGACACAAGAGCAACACAAGGGTCTATCTCGCTGATTAGAAGCTAAGCGACCCCCGTCTCTAGCTCCCCACCCCCCAGGATTAGAGGAACTGCGTCCGGTAATAGAGGGGGGAGGGGCTCACCTGCCTTCCTGCCCCAAGGCGAGAGGTCCCTGACCCTGCAACACACACTTTGAGGTTCCCCTCCCTACCGACACTGACAATGGTCCTTCATTAAGCCCCCTCTCCTTCCTCTTATCCCTAGCTCAGTGGCGTTTGAAGATTTTCTGATCAAAGACATGTGTGGTTCTCCCATTACCATAAGAGAACCGTCCCTAATGAGGTCCACACACACCTGAGAATGTCCACTTAGAATGACTAAAAAGTGCTGATATGGAGCAGTTACGTCGGTTAGGATCACCCATTTCCCTTTCCTCTAAAACAAGAAGGGTTTAATTAGACTAATCTGTTCTTTAGAGAAGTGAAGGGGATTCACATTGTGAGGAAAGGACAATAGCCGTGATGTTGTGGCAACAAAGACAGAAGGACGTCCTGAGCCCATCTGCTGGATTGGAACAAAGCCATCCAGGGCATTTGTTTCTTGCTTTGGTATTGGCTGTATCTTCTGTGTGTACTGTCACCTACTGCCTGCTGTCAAACAATCTCCTCTGTGCTGAGCTAAAGCACCAGAGTGGCACAAACAAACCAATAGCAGCCAGCTATTTCAATTGATGATATATGACCGTGTGCATGAGTGAACGAAGACCACCTTAATGAGAGCAGAGCTACTCAAAGAAATCAATCATGCATCGACTCTAGCAACAACTTGCAAAGCATCTCAGGTCGCCCATTTGCTAATAAGCCAGTATTACTCTTTTACAAACCAACATATTTGAAGGAATCGATAAGGGAGTCAATAAAGAATACGGTTTTTAAGAGAAATTGATCATGAAATTGTATGAACTGCACTTTACTGCAGTTTTATGAAGGAGAATATAAATGTATCATGACAAAATGGTGGTTGCTAAACTTGAATTAGGATTCAGATTAGAGACAAAGGAAACTATGTCAATACTATACCCAAAAACATATACAGTACAATATAACTTTGTAAGATTTAAAAAGTTGTATTCAAAGGTGATAAATAACCTATTACACGAGGTTTAACATATAGATGACTTTTTTTAAATGAAAGGGTCTTCATCGCTTAACCTCCCTATTGTACACGAGTAGGTCAGCCCAGTCTGAGCAATTAAACTACATTGTTCATTCTTCACCCTAAAAACCCAGATTAAACATTCAAACAAAAGAACTGTATCTAGCAATCAAAACGGGGAATAAAGTTATCAAAACAAGGTCAAACGATGTGTGACAGCTCACCACCATTGTTGCCCTTTGAATTGTGTGAGAGGATCTTTGCTCAGTGCAGCGTGAGACAGCTGAGAGAAAGCTGGTCAAAATCAGTGGCGAGTGCTTTTGTCACAACAATGGCATCAAAAAGCGCACTGGGAATTTGGAGGCAATTGTGGGGGGCCGTGCCATTGTTTTGGTAGAGATAACAGCACTGAGGCACAGAGCCGGGTTATATTGTTTGAAGGAGGACCCCCCGCCACCGCCAACGCAGCTCAAGGCTCGTCTTTCTTTACCGTGGTGGGATGAGCCGGCGTCCCAGCCACGCTTCACGCTCGGCCTGCTTCATTTATTCTCTGCGAGATCAACACCGCCCTCCCTTTTAGGAAAATATATCCACGGTAAAAATAGTTTGTGAAGGTTACTGACTGCCAGCTACTAAAACACGACAATAACACGAAAAGGTACAAAAACGTAGACAAAAAAACGGATGAAAAGCAGTTCATATTTGAATTTAAGACCGTGGAAACATTCAATAATTGGCATTTTGCTTGGAGAAATAGGAATTAAATAATTAAAGTTGTCTTTTTTCTGTTGTTTCAGCTCAATAACAGCCTTTAACCTGGGATGTTGCAACAGTCTTTCGCATGTGCCTGACAACAATAGCAGTCATGCTTCTAGTTCCTATTTTGATACACAACTCCTGACAGCTGAGTGTTAAAAATACAATAATGATACGGGGGTTAACCTCTAACAGTATGTAACACTTTTAAATAAGTCACCCATCTAGTAGTTGAAAGCTCTCTATATTTACCGTCTTTCGTTTAAGATTTGTACCACTGTTATATGACTTAACTACAACAAGACCATGTTACCAGAAACTAACCGTACAACATATGCAGTCTAGTCTCTACACGTTAGAAACATTTTTGATTCTGAAGGTCTTTAAATCAAGAACGTGTTGCTCTGTATGTAAACAAATGGAAATCAATGGCATAAAAAGCCCGTATAAAAAAGCAGAACCAAAAAAAACAGAAAGTGTATCCACGTGTCGCATTCATACGTCTCCAAAAGTTACCAACTATTAAGTAGCCTATACATGCGAGTAACTTCTATCATTCCCAAGGTTCACGAAAGGGATGGACCACCCAATATTCAGCCCCCATAGGTATTAAAGTAAGCTTCAAGTCATTTGGTTACAATGGATTCTACCGGTGACCAGTGTCCACAGAAAAAAGGGATATAAAGGTCAAGAGAAACTTCTCAAACCACCCATCCAGAACAATCCACTCCGCTGCTGCCAATCTGTTGCAAACACTCGTGTAACATATTGCGTTGTTTAGGAGTATCGCTTTAAGAGAGGTGACTCAACTTTACACTCAAACATTTACCTTTTAAATGAATGTCTGCCCTATATTGTTGTGTGCATGGGGGTCCCATTGTGTCGGACAAAGCTCATTG